ATCTAATAGTCAAGAGAGAAAAGGAAGTAACAAATCGTTTTTAGAAGATTGAAAGTGTGAATTAATTTAATGTAACGCGCTGCTATTTAAGCCCAAAATGAAGAAGAAGAAGAATGCTCACCGCTGGTTCTTAATTCGCTCTGCTAGATTAGCTCTTCTGTTTTCAAGCACCGCGTTAATTTCCAATTATATCCTTGTAATTACACCGTATCATAAGCCATTTTTGTGAATATAGTCATCTCAAAGGAAACCCAAAAAAAAACAAACAATCAATTATCATATTGATTGAATATATATTCTATTAAGAAACAAGTTGGCTATAGCGAGTGAGTTTGATCTTGCAGCTCTGCACACATGGCCTTTTTTATTATTAGGTCAGACCTAGAGACCTGATCCTTGTTTAACTTTTATCTTTTTTTCCTTTTGATTTAAATTTAAATTAATTAAGATAGATTAGTTAAATACATGAGTGGCATGCACAACCTAACATCTATTTAATTTTAATGAAATTAATTAATTAAAAATATTTTTATATTATTTTTTTATAAAATATCATTTAATTTTTACCTAGTATTTGTAACATTTTTCAAATGTTTCTTTTTGAAATGCCTACACATTCAATTTTGTTTACATTAAAAAGCTTTTAATTTGATGCATGGTGAAGCATGACTCAACTAACTAGTCAAAATTTAGGAGCACCTTAATCTTATATTTTTTTTTCTTTATTATTTTCACATGTATTTTGCATTTAAATTCAAACTAGTGATTAAAAAGCATATTTAAAGCTATTTAATACATTTTATAAAAAATAAAAGAAATAATAAAAAATAAGAAGCATCATAATTCATTTTATGGGTTAAGAGCGTATTTGTTTTTGCATTTAAAAAATATTCTTCAAAATTTAAATTTTTATTTTTTAAAATAATTTTTTTTATGATTTTAGATCATTTTAATAGATTAATATATAAAATAAATATTTAAAAATAAAGAAATAAATAATATTTTAATATATTTTAAAATAAAAAATATATTAAAACCGTTGATACAATCGCAAACATTATTTTAAACTAAACATACAATTTATTTTTATTTTAAGAGCGAGGGGCAGTATGGTAAAGTGAAGATGATGAAGTCTCGAAGCCATCCATGTAAAGACAAATCTGCAGTTGAGCCCAAAGCACGTACTGCTATGGGTTCTCCGCCTTCTGATTTATTTTGTCTGTTGGTTTTTTCGTTGCCTATTGGAAAATCTAAGCTTGTTGATCTCTGACACTGTACGTATGGATCCTTGAAATAAATGCTTTTGATATCGATACAAAAATCGTAAGTTGATTTTCATAGCTCTTCTATTTATCTACAAATAATTAAGTTGATTGTGTTCCTGTATCTCTAATTATGCCATTTTCAATTCATAAATAAATAAATAAAACATTTCTCCAATATATATTATTTATGTTTGTGTTTCGTCTAAGATGTGTGCATGATTTATTTTGACATCAAATTAGTTTTCAAATGTTTTCCCTGGTGTAAAAAAAAAAACTCATTTTTAGTGATTTTACCACAAAATACTTAGATACTTATTATTCTCATTGTAATAATTACGTATCTAATGCATGCATGGAACTTAAAAATATTTTTCTCTACAAATATGGCAAAATACTTAGATACTTATTTTTCTCATTGTAATAATTATGTATCTAATGCATGTAACTTAAAAATATTTTTCTCTACAAATATGTTTTTTTTATTATTATTGTTATTCTAAATATATTTCATTTTAATAAAAACAATATCAATGATTATTACAAAGATTTCCTAAAATAAAACATGTTTTTTAAATCATACGAGTTTTTTGTTAATTATTTTTATTAATGTAAGTATTTAAAATAATTTATGTGTTATTTGGTATGTTAATGTTTTCTTATGAACAAGAAAAATTAATGAATTTTTTAATTTAAAAACTTGAGTGAAAACTTGTTGTAATGTAATTGTTTCATTGTTTTTATTTATACAATAAAAGATCAATGCTATGAGTTTTAAATTATGTTTTCTATTGCATGTTTTTTTAAAGTATAAATAGAGAAAAAAAACACAGAAAGATATCAAAGATTAGTTCAATTTTTATTATAAAGTCCCTTGAGATACTGAAAATTTTATGATAGTACATGAATTGAATTTTATTTTTATTTGCATCCTTGCCATCTATATATATAAATGACGAGCAAAGAGAAGATAAAAAATCAAGCGAGCTAAGTGTAAAAAAATAAAGAGGAAAAGGAAAAAATAGGGGATTAAAATATAATCAATGAAAAAAATAAGATTTTCATCGAATCTTAGATTTGACAACTCAAATTTGAAAATTCTTGACATTTTAGTGATTTATCTTGATTCTAGGATTATTTTAATGTATTTTGTTGGGTTATTTCTGAAAGTTACAAGGGGTAATTTTTGTATCAATACTTTCTTTTATGTTAGTTTAAGCTAAAGTCAAAAAGAAAATACATGATGCATTTATTTAATTTAGGTTATTTAAGTTTTATTTCATTAGTTTTCTTATTCTCTAATATATTTTTTAGATGTCTTCATATCATTAACACTTCACACTTTCATTTTGATATTTATAATTTCGTATTTATAGTTTTATATTGATAGTCTATTTATAATTTTGTATTTATAGTTTTATATTGATAGTTTGTCTTTTTATTACTTCTTAAGTCTATATATTATTTTGGATTGTCTTTTTATCACTTCTTAAGTCTATATATTATTTTGGATTATACTACCAAGTGATTAATTATTTTTTTTGTGAATTAGTTCCTTAAATAACTATTTTTTTTTAGATTAAGTGATAAAAGACGATAGGTGAGTTTATTATAGTGAAAAATCAAGAATTTATATGAAAAACAAAAAGAGTGATATATGTTGAGTATATACACATGAGGAAGTATGTGAAAATATATTTTTCTTGCTGCTAACATGTTTTTTTATGATTTTAATGATGTCAATCAAAAGTGGATCATCACCACTAAATGATAGGAATAATCTAGAATGAGATTATTTGGTTATGCAACAACAATAGAAGATGATGAACACGAGATTTGAAGAGGCTATGAATGACATGAGTGGATTGAAAACTAAACTAGTTAGCTTTTGAGATGAACTATTTTATAGAGCTCCTGAGGGCAAAAAACTTGTAAAACGAGTTATTTCACCTTCAAATGAGTTTATAGAAAAAAAAAAGATAAAAAATCTAATGGTTGTAATTATGAACATGATACTACGTTTTATTGGTATAAAACTTACAGGCATATAGGGGTTTGATCATATGAGAGCAAAACAAACAATATTCCATAGAATGGCTCAAGTTTCATAACCAATGGTACCAAGCTGAGTAAACTAAAGTGTTTTGATAAGTTAGCACAATTAAAAAAGATATTTTATAATGTAACAATCAAAAAAATATTAAGAGATCTAACACAGTTAAGAGTGTTATAAATAATATTTATGACTCTCCTCTAACAAACTCATCATGAGACAATCCATTTTATCATAACTCTCCACTAAAAAAAATAGCAATTCACACAATTTAAATAACTAGTTTTTTAGTATCAAAATACAATTCACATAAGTAGTATATAACATATTCAGTTGTAAATAACAAATTTAGATTAACAATTAACATAATATACTATTTTATTAAAAAGTAAATTAACTATACATTTATTCATAATTCTTATAACATCTAATAACATATAACTATATCTAATAATCTTCTCGACTCGTAAAACGACCTAGAGTACTTGTGGACATGTCTAAAGCATTACACCAGCTTGTCCAACTTGATGATGAGTTTGTAATATCCAGGTAGGTCTAAAGAAGACCTGTATCATCCCAGCTCATGCATGCTCGTAGACAAGCTTAGGATGCTCATGGACAGATCTAAGCAACTTGTGGATGAGCTTGGGATGCTCATAGATGAACCAACATCCTCAATACTCTAACAATTAATAATCTTATCTTTCACTAATATTACTTTAAGATGTTCAATCTCCCCATCCTCTTGAAGTCCATCCATTATAAATTGAGCATAGTTTTGACCATAATATATGTTATCTTGTTGACACATTCATAAATAGTTATTGTTGTTTTTCAAACTTTTCATACCAAATAATTAATATATATATATACACACACATATTAAAAATTAATTACTAATCATTATTCATAATAAAATTAATCTATTATTTAATAATCATAAAAAAAAATATCAATCATATTTGTTTTAGATATTGGAGGGTATAATGTATCAAATTATATAGATGTCTTAATAAATATGATTAGATTAGTGTAATGAAATATCTTATAATGAGCATA